GAGAGAGAGAGAGAGAGTATTGCAACACATAAAATATTGCAATAAATACGAAATTGTATAATGATTTATAAATAAATATTAAAATACAAGTTTATTTGTGGGATAATAATTTTCAATTCAATGATTGTGCAAATGAGTGCTCACACAATGAACTTAATTTAATATTTTAATTGAAAAACCTGCAAATTGTAAGCGCGAGCATTGGTTTTAATTGTTGTCCAAACTTTATTAGATATCAATTACAAAATATATCGCCGAAAAACAAACACCCGTTTGAATGCATTGTCAGTGTCCAGTAGATCAGTGTTTATTACAATTTTGTTATATTAATGTTTACAATTAAAACACAACTAATTAATGAATAAATACTGCATTCATTACATATTTATTCAAATGACAAACACAAATACAGTACGGCCCCGAATTTGGCACACGCGATTTTAGCAGAATTCGATTTTAGCATAAGGTTTTGTTAGCACCGGCGAGTCATATTAGCACTGCTAATGAACCCGATTTTAGCAGAACTCAATTTTGGCACATCTTTTTCACAGCACCACTGACATGCCAAATTCGGGGCCAGACTGTAGTTAGACAATATGTTTAACGTTTTAATTTGTTGTGTGGAATGTCTTTAATTGCTGTGTAATCGTAGTTTGAAATTAAAGTACTCGACACTGATATGACCCAAAGTGACCGATACTACGCCCGTCAGTGACTATTGAAAGTGTCTTATGTGTTGCTCACGAGTCGATGCGTTGAATCAGATGAGACTCATAGTCAACGCCGTTAGTATTACCGACGAATCCAATATCACGATAGCATTGAATAATGTGCCAACACTTGCGCCCACACTTGTAATGGTTAGGTTAGGTGAGGATATATAAGAGATAAAGTGGTAATTAGGGGGCGGGGAGGGGGACGCCAGCGGATTCTGTAAATTAATGTTATGTTTATAATATATTATAAAAGTTTTCAAAACAACAGTTGAAATGCAGTTCTCATTCAATATATTTTGACATTTCTATATATTGACAGTCAAAATATAATATATTTTATATAAGAGATTTAAATAAAGCCTATATTTAATCCATTAAGGCCTTCTATTTTAATTTATATCGTATTTATGTTAATTAAATGGGAAAATTTTGAATTTTATTTTATGTAAAACAAAATTAATATCACGATACAAACTAAAAAGCAAACTCAACTAAACATTCTGTTTATTGTTTCATGGTTATATTTAATTACGAACATCAATAATCTGCGAGTGATAATTGTATTTTGATTGCAATTATGTTATGACACACTAATATTTTGACGGATCAATTGGCAAATCAATATTAAAAACGAGTTTAATTCTTTTCGTCTATCAAATAAAAATACAAATCATTATTATATTTAACAAAATATTTTTAATAAAAGAAAAGGTCTTCAATCATGAGCTTTAAGGACACATTTAATCAGTCAAAACCAGTTGTAACTATTCATTACCATGTTAACAAAATTTATATGCACTACACCAATAAAACTTCAATTCTATGTTAATACTTTCTTCTAATATTGTTTAATGAAACATGCATGTATTTACGATCGAGTAGACGTGGTGTGGTTCAAATTAATCATTATATAATTGCAGTTTTAAATTTTCAATCAATTAATATAAATCAATCCCAATTGTAAACATAATAATTTATAATAATTAAAATTATTATAAGTAAAATTAGTTGTTTATAATGTATGTTAATATATGAAAAACTTTATAAAAATTTCCCCAAAAATGACGTATATATTTGAAATGACAATTAATCTGATATGCGAACAAAGATTATGAAGTTTCAGATTGCAAATTATAGAAAATTTGCAAGATTAATTAATAAGTCTCATAGTTTTGACAAATTATATATATTTATTATCTGTTAATTAATTCATAAATATTTCAAAAACAATGGATAATTTTGAAACAATTAATATTAACAATAAATTAAGTGATAATATTATAGATGTGAATAATAACTGCGATATTCTGGCCGTCGATGTGAAAGATATTGTATTTGAATACAAACGCGATGTCAAAGTTCTTAACAATTTGTCTCTTCAGATACCAAAAGGTAACTTTTATATATTTTAAATATAAATTCATGATTTATTGTTTCATCAATGTAAATGTATATTTTTGGTATAGCTATGATATATTCATAATTTTTCAAACCAATAAAAATAATTAGAAAATAAAATATTATTTATTATATTGCATTGATTTTATCTTAAAAATTGTACATTTTTATAAACATTTTTAATAATTATTATTAAAATTAAATTAAAAGAAAACTAAATTAATAATAAACTAATTATAAAACATTAGGCAAAATATCTGCACTGTTGGGTCCAAATGGGACGGGAAAGACGACATTAATCCAGACAATATTAGGGCTGCATAGGCCTACTTCCGGATCAATCCATGTGTTTGGCGTTAAGCCGGGTTTGAAAGAATCGGATATTCCGGGTCCGGGCGTCGGTTATATGCCTCAGGAGTTGGCGCTCTTTGAAGAGTTCACTATCAATGAAATACTCAATTATTACGGAATGATATATCATATGAATCGCGAAGAAGTGATGAACAGAATTGAGAATTTGCGCGAATTATTGCATTTGCCTGAAAAGAGTCGACTAATTAGTCAATTAAGTGGTGGGCAAAAGCGCCGGGTGTCGATCGCCATAACAATGTTACACAAACCCAGACTCGTTATATTGGATGAGCCCACTGTTGGTGTGGACTCTTTGCTCAGGCATAAGATATGGCAGTATTTGGAGCACATGTGCAAAACTGATGGTCAGTGTCCTTTTTTGTTGTTGTATTATCCATTATTTATTACTATCAAACAATCATTTTAGGTCAAACAGTGTTGATAACAACACATTATATCGAAGAGGCCCGGAGTGCGGGTAACGTAGCATTTATGAGTGCGGGAACTATCCTTAAACAGTCGGAACCAAATGAACTGATGGCCGAATACGAGTGCCCGACACTGGAGGACGTGTACTACAAGTTATGTATTAATCGACGCAATTCTCAGCACAAATTACATGAACTCAAACCGGAAAATACCTCAAACAAAGAGATCAAACCAAAGCCGGTCATCAAACCACAGGCCAAACCCTTCATTGACTTTCAGCGCGTATTGGCTTTGCTTTGGAAATACTATACCTTAACGATGAGAAGGCCTTTTTTCTTATACGTGTACTTTCTGTTACCCCTGATTGTGCTGACATGCGTTCGGTACGCCATCGGACACACTCCACGTCACGTGCCTATAGTTGTGCACAACGGCGAGATGGATGCGCCCAACTCTGAACTTTCCCGACAATACATCGAAGCCATAGACAAAGAGTACGTTCAGATCCATGAGGTGAGAGACTTTGACGACGCGTACAAATCGGTGGTCAATGGCACCAATTCGCTCATGATCTCACTTAGCCATAACTTTACGGCCCAATTCGAGACCCGTATGTTAGACTATTTAACTTTGGACGAAGTTGAGCTAGATGAAAGCAAAATCAAACTCTACGTGGACTTTACAAACCCGGCCATCACTGTATATGTGTTGAAGTTTATAAAGTATGCGCTCAACACTATGTTAGAGCAAAACACGTATCGTTTTGGCGAAAATTCAGTCCGTTTTATGCATACACTGGATATTAAAGAGCCCGTATACGGCACATACGATTTCTCATTGGCTAATCAATTTGGTCCCGGAGTGCTGCTCGGTATATGTCACATATTGCCCATGATCATTGCCGGCCTACAGATTATCAACGATCGCAAAAACAATTGTCTCGAGCGAATCAAATGCGCCGGAATTAAACCCATTGAGATATATTTGGCTCATTTGTTACAAAATATTCTCTTAATTGCTATTCAAATGTTGTTCACAATGTTTATAGCGTTTGTTATTTATGAAAATGAACAAAAAGGCAGTTATTTTGAGGTTTATTTAGTTTTATTTTTTACTGGTATACAAGGCATGGGTTTTGGTTTACTAACCGGTCTTTTATTGGATAGTGAACCGACATTTTTAGTAAGTATTTGTATTAAGCTTAATCAATATGGTTGATTTATAAAATAAATATTTTCTTTAGGTAGGAGTTGTATTTTTAATGCTACCTCTATGGATAACTTCGGGCATAATATGGCCTTTGCAAGCAATGCCAGATTATGTTCAAAAAATCACCTCGTTTGGTCCGCTCACACTCATACTGGAGTCCATGCGCTACGTTATGCTCCGCGGCTGGACTTATCACAAATTACCGGTTCTCTTAGGATACTCCGTATCATTTGCCTACGTTTTTATCTTAAATTGTGTTAATTTAGTTTTATTGCATAAAATGATTATATAATTACATATATTTAGCATGACTTTTTTTAGAGAGTAGGAAATAAAATTAATTTCACATTTACACGTCAATAAAATTTAGAAATTACTTTTTATTTAAAAATATTAAGGTATTTTAATCATATAAATGCAAATTTTAAATAAAATAAAAATTGAAGTTTTAAATTCAAATATAATATGGCATTAATAATATTGATTACCAAACACAATCACACCACAATCATGTAAATTGATTAAAATAAAGTCCTAGATTTTAATTAAATATTCACAAAAAACAATCAGTCCTGTAGTTCCAGTGAAATTGTCGCCAATTTTAGCATTGATTTTCCTTATGATTACAATTAAACATTTTAATGAATATATAAATAATATATTTAATTGTGAGAATAAAGTTCCTTTTATTTATTACAAAATTATGGTAATTAGTTAACCAAAATTCTGACGCATTTATAAATTAAAACTTTATTTTTATAATTATTGATTACAATTAGATTAATATTTATAAATTTTATATTATAGTTTAAAAAAATTTTCAACTAAAATATTGTTTTAATTTTAGTTTCTAATTAACCTTTATAATTAGTGTTCTATAATTTATTTAATCTTGCACATAATATAAAGTGTAAAATAAGATATAGTTATGTTCAGGCAATTCTGCTCGGCTTTCAGTTTATAGAATTGTAGTAATAGGTGTTGATTGACCCAAACATTGCGATCAAAAGTAAGTCAACACAATGTTCTCCACTTATGATGCAAGTGATGGACCCGATGTCCTTTGGGACACATAAACAACATTTCTGAAGACCTCTTATCCATCACTTGCAGCATAATTGGAGTACATTTTGTAGACTGAGATCGCAATGGTTTAGTCAGTTAACACCTATTATTACTATTTCAAAAAGTGAAAGCCAAGGAAGAATTACCTCAGCTTAGATATAGTTTACAAAATATTAAAAGCAGTTTTAATCTATAGTTGCATTAATATTAAAATTGTTGTCAATGTTTAAGAAACATTTTTATTTATGAAATACATTTATATATTTTATTTAAGAACAAATCCCTGAATGTATTTATAATTTTGTTATTTTTAATTATAAATAAAAAAACTGTAATACTTTACACGTACACGTTATTCAACTAAAATTATAATAACTGTTAAATTTTAAAAGCAATTAATTTTATTACTAATTTATTTAATTTCTAAAAATGAATGTCAGTTACCAGCTTATGATCAAGGTAATAATGATAAACTATAGTATTATTTTTGTATAACAAATCTAAAAAATATTTGCGTCCATTTGCATTGAAGAATAAAAACTGAAATTTAAAAATATTTATATTTAGGGAAATTTTTCTCTATTTATCATAAAATACATCACAATTTTAGGTTTTATTGGCAAAATTATTGAAAATAATATATTAAATTTGAAGGACATTAGGTTTTAAAGCACTACTCGTATATGATTTACACTATTTAGCAATAGTTCTTAAAATATTGTTATTTTGAATGTCGTCAATATATTTACTATTTATTTCATGTATCGTTTTTACAAATACTGTAAACCATTAACATTAATAAAACAATAAAGTTTTAAAACATTCATAATTTTGTCTTTTCTGAAAATACTCAAAAATACTACAAATTAAAGTTTTATTAGCTTGACAGTTTATTTAATGTCTATGTCAATCACTAATTTAACAACTATTAAATTAAGCCTTATTATACAAATACAATATTAAAATATAACAAATTTTATAAAAATATAGATTTTCAAATGTAATTAATTAACAAACTCTCAACAAAATAAAATGATTCCTGTTTTATGTTTGAGATATCTATTTAATAATTAAATAATTCTGAGTTATTTCATAATGATTATGCCAGATTAGGCAAAAATAACCTAAAAATCTAGGTTGTTGATAGCTTTATAATATACTAAGCAAATTTCAATTTTTAAAGTGTCCACATTTATTAAGTAATGTATAATTACTTTTATATATTTTAATAGGAAATATTTAGATTATTATTTTTTATTGTATTTATATGTATTGACAATTATATAAAAATACGTTCACAACAGAATGATCACGCACACCAAATGTGCTCTATGTTTGTATAATAAAAACTGAATATTTATCCCGAAGGGTTTATTGATGCACATCACTAATAATTATTTATAAATTAGTTTATACACTAAAGCATATGTATATTTACAGTTAATAAAAACAACTAATTAATTAAAATCATTATAAATAATTAAAATCAAAATATATAATAAATTAATAATAAAATATATCAAGATCAAAACACTGCTTACGATAAATATTGTAAATAATTAGTCAAATTTTGTATATAATTTTGGAAAAGGTTTACATTAAATAGTGTTTTACTGTATAAATTGTTTGTCAATTATGGAAACAAAAGTTAACTTTCAAAAAGTAATAGAAAGGTTTCCACAAAAAATGATAAAAATAAAACAAAGTAAAAAATACT